CCCCGCATCTGCTGGCGCAGGTCCAGCCGCCACTCACTCCCCCTCTCCCCGGCCCTGACCCCGCCGCTGCCCCCCGAGGGAGGGCAGGCTTTTCGGCCGCGTGCCCTGGGCACCGGTGGCCCAGTTGTTTCCATCCATCTTCCAGACAGGCGCCCACCCAAGGGGTCAGCTGGCAGCCGCCACGCTAAGGGCCAGGGTGGGCGTAGGGCGTGGTCCCGGGAGCTTCCCCAGGTGTGCTCCCCGGGTCCCCAGCACCCCAGAGCTGCAAGCCTGGCAGCCGAGGGCCAGGCAGACTGGCCCCTCGGCCCTGCTGCTCACTGCCCGGTCTGGCACCTGGCCACCTGGTCCCAGGCACCAGCGAGGCCGTGGGGTTCCGGCTCTTCTCCCGGCCCTGGGAGGGGCAGGCACCCCCGCGCCCCATACGCTCCCCATACGCTCCCCACACTCCCAGCCCGGAGTCCCCCGAAGGGCTGCATCTTCCAGAACCCGGCGGGGACCTGAGCTGCCCCCATGGCCCCTAGACTGACCTCGGGGCCGCAGCCGAGTCTGGGCAGGGTGGCCGCTCCCCGGCTGCGCCCAGGGGGCCTGGCCAGGCCCAGAGCCCTGCGCCCAGCTGCCTGCCAGACCTGGGGGAGCCTGGGCCCCAAGCCAGGCTCAGAGTGTGGGCCCCGCATGCACTCAGCTGGACACATCGGCCCCTTGGGCCCCGCAGGCCAAGCCGCCGGGCGCCCCGTGTCCCTCCGGCACCCTGCTCTGCCAGGCTGCTCCTGCCCAGGGGGCAGCGGAGGGCACAGGCCCCACTCTCCGGCCCTGGGGGCAGAGCCCGGCCTTCCCCAGCCCCCGCAGGGCCACAGGGGTTCCCGGCGCCCTCAGGCCTGACCGCACCCGCAGGCGGACGGGGTGAAGGCGGAGCCCTTCGAGAGCCACTCGGCGCTGGAGCTCGCGGAACAGCTGACCCTGCTGGACCACCTGGTCTTCAGGAAGATCCCCTACGAGTGAGTGGCTGCGGGGGCCAGGCGGCGTCAGGACACCAGGCCGGGCCGGCCCGAGGCGTCTCGGGGCCAGAGCGCAGCGTCCAGGC